CTTCTTGGCTGCTGCGGCTCTGAGTGCCGTGTCTTCTTCAGATGAACTGGAGCTCCAGCCCCAGCGTGGCGGCTGTCCCATGTTCTGGTACAGCTTCAACGGGCGCTGCTTCAAGTACGTCGCCACGTCGATGACCTGGATCGACGCAGAACGCCACTGTGTGGCAGCAGGAGGCAACCTGGTGTCCATCCACAGTCAGGAGGAAGAGAACTATGTCAAGTTCCTGATCAGAAACTTCGACCCCGCTCAGGGAGTCAACTGGATCGGACTCACTGACAAGCACAAGGACGGAGCATGGTTGTGGTCTGACGGGTCCAAAGTCACTTTTAAATTTTGGAATACAGGAGAGCCAAACAACTCCGGAGGCCCAGAAGAATGCGTCCACACCAACTGGGGCAACGATAAAAAATGGAATGACAAAGACTGTTCAGCAAAATACTCCTTTGTCTGTGCAACTCGTGCAAATTGTGTGCACGGGTCAAATTTTCCTGATTCCCCCCAGCCTTAACTTGTGATCATTTGTAAAGTTTAAGCTCGGTGGTTGTTTCACTATCTTTCTTTTTGTGTAATCTTTCAGACAGTTAAACAGAAATCAAGTGGTAAAAAAGCGAACTGTTCCTTTTTTTACTGTTCCCCTCTCTGCTGCTCTTTTTTGGTTGAAACTGAAAACATCAGCCAGCTGTTTATGGCCAAATAATGAAGTGAGGTAGAGAGAAACTTTTCAATGAAGTGTTCCCAACAAGTTGGATAAGGTCAAACTCAGAGATCTTCATATCTTACAATATCTCAGCTATGGCTTTTAAGACATCTGACTCTGGAGGTGACAGAGCCAGGAGATTCAACTTTCTGTATAATCAGAGCAGCTTGGAACGTTGAATTAATAACTTGTATGATCGTGCTGATTGCTCTCACTTCATAATGTTTTTACTTTTAATAAATTCCATTTTTTCTGACTTCCACACACAGACTATGACTCTTGTTTGAAACATGGAAAAACAAACAAATACCTCACAATGTGGCTGCATTATGTTTTTTCCCCACATGAGGACAGCAGAAGGCTTCTTCGCTGTGATGATGCAGAATTAAAAATTGTGCGAGACGAGAGGATATCAGTAGTTTGGGGTTTAAAAGGCATAGCTCTAGTTTTTTCTTAATAATAAATCAAATTTGTATTAGACATATATAACTTGTTCAGATATATTTTTACTTCAATGTGCAAATATATTTGTAGCTTTCACGTGTGCTTGTGTATAACTTCCCATAATGCTTCTTCAAATTGTTCTTTAAATGAATGTTTAAAAGAACAAGAACATGACTGATTAATAAAATCAGAAGAAAAATTGTGTTACGTGCGGCTCACTAAAATAGAATAAAGCTAATCCGAAAGCCTTTCATTCAGATTTCTGCCAGATCATTGGTCAGGAACTCAAAGCATCAGTGCAAATTGACATAAAAAGTAATTACTAACCCGTCCACACACATAGAGCCTGAGAAAAAAAGCCATGCAAAGTCCCATTTCTTCAAGAAAAATAGCAAATGTGATGGCAGAATGGCAGCTTTAGTTATGTAGCACTTAATATCTTTAAAAGTATGAACGCAGAGTAAACCGTTGAAGTTAATATAGTTTGTATGGTTGCATTAATAAATAGGACATTTAATAATTTTTTCAATGCTTCTGCTTTGTTTTCATATTGAAATGTTTAAATCATGGAAAACACCAAGTTTAAAGGATTTGCTTATTTTTGTAAAAGCAATCATGTCACATTTTTGAGACGCGGAGTTGATATAATTTATTTATTCATTCGTCATCGCGGATGAAGTTGTTATTTCTTCATCACCTCACTTTTTAATCTCCATCTCACCTTTAGTAAAATGTTATAAACTCACACAGAGTGCCAATGATAAAAATGTCCTCAACTTTTGGACTGTTTGTACCCGTGAAAACTCAAGCAGACATCATTACGTCAGTGACAATCTTAATTCTGGTGACCTTAGCTGGGTACAAAGAGACACAGCTGAACAAAACATTTTGTTCACAGACATTTACTGTATTTTAGTTGCCTAACACCCACTGCAAATGGCCTGTTGCTCCCTCTGGTGTAAAAGCAAACAACAGTTTGGAGCAATTTCAACCAACTGCTCAGATGGGTGGTTGCACTTACTCCTCCTCCTTTAAAACGGCTCTTGTCTCAACTGATCAATAAAATCACTCTGAATATTGAGTTTATGATCTGAATTTGGATCCGTATTATAGGTACAAACCATTGCAGAGAGTTCGACAGATCCAGGATTTCACATTACAAATATTCTGAAATCAGACTATCCATACTTTTACTCAGTCGGTTTTTGGCAGTTGAGAGTAATGAAATGGAATTCAGAATAATATCCCCCCTATATCAACTACTATTATAACTATCATACAAATGTATGACTTTGAAATTATATTAAATTGTAATAATAGTATGTCAAACATTTTTATGTTCTGAAAGAAAAAAAAGCAATGGATACGATTCTTTACATGTCAGTTTCAGGTGGTCTGATAATCCTGGTGTGACAGATGATGATTCTCAGGGTAGTGGCACGTGGCAAAGAACGTTTCTAATCACATTTGACCAATCACATCATGTCAACCAGCTCTTTAAATAATATAAAAGACATCCCCCTCTTCCTGCCCCACACTGGAATCCTGATCCTGCTCAACGGCGAGCTCAGGTAGTCCCAGCTCCACGATGCTGTTCCTCTTCTTCTTGGGCCTGGCTCTGGGTGCTGCCACAGCTGCTGATGAGCAGGAAGTGAAGCTGCAGCGTGGCAACTGCCCCATGTTCTGGTTCGGCTTCAACGGCCGCTGCTACAAGTACATCGGCACGGACATGACCTGGGCTGAGGCATGTTGTGGATTTTTTAAATAAGAGTATTAGTCCGTCTGAGGGTGTGAGGAATAGAAATTTACTAGGAGGGGCGACCGCAGGTGTGAGCAGTACGGCGTACCCAGCCACTCTGCTCATACAGAACTTTGCATTACCTATAGATATACATGTGGTTAGTTATGTATATATTTATTTATATTATGTGTAGAATTTTGTATATATGTATATATGTATAGACATGTATATATGGATATGCTGTTGTTTTATTTCTTGAGTTAGTAACAAAAATAATTTTCCTCTGGGATTATTAAAGTATTTCTGATTCTGATTCTGATTACTATTTCTTGGCCCCAGAATTTAGTCAGCAAGGCCTAATCTTCCTTTAAGAAAAGATATCCTTCGAAAAGTGAATAGTAAGCATTCTAAAGGTACATCCGTAACGTCAAATTATAGTTTAACAATTTGAGAGGAAGAGACCTGTTTCT